TTGGACGTTGAGGTGTAGAAACCAGGTAATTTTTTTGTCAAATATGACTCCTAGATATTTGACCTTTTTCGAGAAGGTGATTTCCACTTTGTTGAGCCTAGAGCATCTAAGCCCTCTTGGTGATCTTTTCTTTGTGAAGGGGACAATTACGGTTTTCTGTGGATTAATCGACAGACAACAGTTCTTCCTCCCTACACCAGTTGTCGACTATGTTCAGTGCGTTTTGCGTTCTTTCTGGAGCAAATTTGAAGCGTCTGCCTCTGACTACTATGACTATATGTCATCCGCGTTACGCGTAACCAAGGCAGTGGAATCTCTGCTTGGCCTTGTTTGTCAGAAGATCGTCGAATAGGACCGCCCAGTACAGTGGCGACAGAACACCTCCCTGTGGGCATCCCTGACAAACATTAGCTTCTACTATGTCCTCGCCCAGAGTGGATCTAATGACCCTGCCTCTTAGGCTGGCTTCTATCCAGTTGAATATAGTGAGCGGACTATTTCTACGCTTAAGTGCGTTCATTAGTGATGTTGGATCATTTTTAAACGCTCCATTCATATCCAAAAACACGCCTACCGCCAGGTCTTTGTCATCGATTGACTTTGTCAGGAGTCTGTTTAGATCATCCAATGCGGATTCTGTAGACTTTCCTGGCTCGTAGGCATACTGGAGATCGCTCAGAGGATAGTGTCAATAAGTGTTCTCTAATATATCTGTCCACCATTTTTTCCAGCGTTTTGTGTAGAAACGAAAAAAGATATATAGGTCCATATGGTTTGGGCGCTTGGTCTAGAATCCTGCCGATCTCTGGCAGGTAGGCTACTGTCGCCTTTCGACATACCTCTGGTATGTAGCCCCAAGCAATGCATGCTCTGAAAATTTTGCATAGGTGTGGCAAAAAACTGAGCTCAGTTGGTAGAGCATTACACTGGAAATGTAGGGGTCCTGGGTTCAAATCCCAGTCGAGACAAGAAAATTTTTCATTAACTTTTAATTTATGCGTCTGCATGCCACTAAAATTAACACTCTTTAAATTATATAACAGGCGATAAAAACTCTAAAAAAATTAAATTCAAGACTTATAGAAATGCTAATTAAAATTAAAATGACAAATATCACAAATCAGTTGCCAACGACGACACGTTGGTTCTCCTTGTCATAACGTCCCAAGTATACAATTTCAATAATTGCAGACAAAAAAAAAGTCCTCATTTATATTAGTACATTTCTTGCTGGAATAATTCTTGCTGCTCTTTACGAAATTATCAAGCATTCCCTTATAAAAAACCAAATCTCTGCGTCCGAATTAGGTCGTCACCCTTTTAGTAATTCTTGAGGAGCCAAACACATGGAAATCGCAAGGGTATCCGTCATGACTCGAAGATGGATGTTTTAAGAATCCCCAGTTCATAAGACCACAAGCAGGTCTTCATGTGTCTGGGCTACAAAAATGTAAGCAATTGTAAGCTTTTTAAATTATTCGAATATGGCTCAGCGCTGCTGTAGATACCAGGTTCTTTATAGAATGAATCATAGCGGAATACCATGGACATTTCTCTGGGTTTAGAGAGATATTGTGCATGCTTCCGATACATAGGAAAGAAGCCAAGACTCACCAACTGCACCTTGTGAGAAGGCATTAGTTTATTGCGAATTCTTCTGCTAATCGGAAAAATCAGTCGTCCAATCCAATAAGCAGTATCTTTCCTGAGTATTGAGAGTCAATGATGAAATTAATAATTCCAACAATAATTCTGACCATCTGAGAAAGTTCTCCAGCTTTCATGCGCCTATTCACGCCATAGAACAGCTTCCAAAGAATCTGCACCTAGATAGTTGCAAAGGAGGGTGAGTTACCTCACTGACACTAGGCCTCGCCTTAGGGCCCTTTGTTAAGGTGGATTCTCCTCCCTGGGGGTCTCCCGCAGACATCGCACCCGTTGGTTGAATTGCAGGAGAGTTCCAGGTGAGGTGCGCCTCAACCTGGCCATATCAGGCCAGATGTTCCCCAGTATGGCTTGCCGTTGTTGACAAAAGGTTGGGCAGTGACAAAGCACATCCTCAACCGTTTCGTCTGCAGCGTCGCACCGTCTACACATTGGGGTCTCAACAACACCCAAGGTGTAGAGGTGTTTATTTAGTCTACAGTGTCCTGAGTAAATTCCTACCAGTAGGCGGAGGTTTTCCCTCGACAACTGTATACTATACTCGGCTCGTTTCCTGCTAGGGAGGTCGATCATTGATCTGCCCTGCTCACAAGTGTCTAAACTGCGCCACATTTTGGCGTGCTCTGAACGAGTTATTCGTTTAACTTCGGCAATGACGGTGTTAGTTGACAGAGGGATCATGGGTTGAGGTCCCATCGGGGCCTTCCCTGAAGCTGCTCTGGCAAGACTGTCAGCCTCGTCCTTGCCTGCGTTGTTTTAGTGCCCTTTGACCCAACAGAGTTCAACGGTGTTCTTTTGTGCGAGTTCTTCTAGAGCCTCTATACACTGCATAATCAGCTTTGAGTTTGTTCCAGCGCTGTCAAGGGCCGACAGCACGGATTTACTATCCGCTAGAAATCGCACTCGTTCGCCGTCGATTTCTTGATCGATGGCTATCTTGGCTCCCTGGATGACCGCCATCAATTCCGCCTGAAAGACGGTGGTGTGGTCACCAAGGGAGGTACTTCTGCGGAGGTTCAGTTCAGGTGAGAAAACACCCGCTCCTGTTCCTCTACTGGTCTTCGATTCGTCCGTGTATATTGAGACCGTTGGGGTACCCTGCGCCTCAACCAACTTATAGATACTGTAGGATCTTTTTGTTATCTGTGTGTGCATCGTGCGATCCACCGCCGCACCCAGCAGGGGTGCATTTCTGTATCCTTCCGCTTGTATGCGGCAGTGTCTTCCCACCCAGCTTCCGTGCTGCCACAAGCCCAAGGTCCAATTTGCAGGCAAAAGGGCCATCTCCTCTATACAAGTGCAGAGGTGGCAGATCCAAGACCGCCTCCATTGCCCTCGTCGGGGTGGTTCTCATGGCGCCCGTGATCCCGATACACGCAAGGCGTTGCGTTTTATCAAGTAGGGCCCTCGTTTTTACTTGTCTGGTTCTGGGCCACCAGACAAGAGCTGCATAGCAAACCATTGGTCTTATGATAGCGGTATATATCCACAGGGCGATTTTGAGTGTGAGGCCATATGACCTGCCCATCGCCCTGCGGCACTGCCACATGGCCATGTTCGCTTTTTTGTTTTTACCTCAATGTGTCTCTTCCAGCTGAGCTTTTAATCAAGCACAACTCCCAGGTACTTGACCTCTGGGGTCAGCTGTAGACTGGTATTATTTAGCCTGGTTATTTGCATATCACTTAGCTTTCTTTTCCTGGTGAAGAGGATCAACTCCGTTTTCAGTGGATTCATGAGATCGCATAGAACGCTCTCAACCTTGCTTGTAAGCAGAATGCATAAGTCATCTGCGTAACCTATAGTAGGGAATCCCGCATCATTTAAGCTATGTAGGAGGCTGTCTGCCACAAGGTCTCAGAGGATCGGTGATAACACACCACCTTGTGGGCAGCCTCTCTTAACCAGAGCATCGATAGTGGCGTCTCCAGTGTCAACTTTCACGACCCGCCAGCTTAGCATCCTCTCTATCCATCTGGTGATGGTAGGTGGAGCCCCATGTCTAGCTACGCCTTGTTTGATATTATCGAAGGTCGTTCTGTCGAACGCTCCTTCGATATCAATAAATGCTGTCAGAGTGGACATTTTCCAATCCAAAGTCAGAGACTGTTCAATCCTGCACACGACTGCGTGGAGAGCAATCTCCGTGGATTTCCCTGGTATATATGCATGTTGGTTCCGGTGAAGGGGGTTGCGTGCAAGGCAACGGCGCCCGCAGAATTTGTCGCAGGGGGGGGCAAATAAACTGCTCTTGGGGGAATCGTGGAAAGCGCACCGCAGGCGGAAATTTTTTTTTTGGCCACACCCAAATTTTGCTAATTGTAACTAATATAATAATAAACATTAAAAAATAAAACAATTTGGAAATACTTTTATTTCGGACGGGAAAAAAAGTTAATTCTCTGTATCTTTTGATAGGTGCACAAATTACTTTTTCTGCGATTGACAAGAAATGTCAGCATTTTTGACTGGTTGACAGGTCGCAAAACTCAATATTCTGGTATTTTAATTTTGTTTCAATAGTTGCTAAGAAATCAATGAATAACAATACGGGAAACACTTTTCCGGCCTAGGCCGGGAAAGTGATTCTCGTACTGCTGAATATTTGGAACCAAAAGACAAACATTTAACAGGTATTTAAGCCATCGCAGAAAAAATAGTATGTGTATTTCGGTGGAAAAGCACATTCTCGGCTTTCGGTGTTTGCCGGCCTCGGCTTCGCCTTGCTTGTCAACTTACACCGTCGGCCGAGAATGTGTCACTTTTCCACCTAAATACACAATATACTATTTCCTTGTGGGAAAAAAAATTTAAAAAAATTGCAATCAAAACTAAAACAAACACCCGTTTTCTGACGCTGACGCTGAAGGGTGTACGTCATACCTGAACCAATGACGACGTTTACGTTGTCAGTTGTGCGTCGCGTACTATCCTAACAAACCGTACCTTAAAATCACTGATCAGTTGGATTTTTGGAATCATATACCCCAAATTTAACAAAAAAACAAAAAAACAATTAGTTGTTATCAAAAAAAAATAAAAATGGAAATAGGTACCTAATTATTTTTATTTATTTTTTTCTCTTTTATTTTTAAGTATTTATATTAAAAGCCAGGGGGGGGGCACCCCCCCCACCGGGCGCCCATGGTGCAAGGGGTCCTTCCCTTAAGTTTCGTTCGCACAGTCTCTCAAGAGCCTTTAATAGAAAGGATGTGAGACTGATTGGGCGGTATGAATTGGCCTTAGCCTAATCAGTTTTGCCTGGCTTGTCTTGGGTATCTTGGGAATATTTTTTTCATCTGACGTTACATGTACCTACCTATGACAGTACTTACATGTAGACAACAACATCCAGATTGTATTCTCGTATAAATTTTCATTGGCGGCCAGAAACTCAATAACACCATGCGGATTATCTATATAATATATTGACATCATTTTTCGACTCAGTCAAAGCCCGAACTACAAATATTTTTGACAAACGCATTGCTACAACAAACAATATACCTACAGAAAAAAAAAATCTCTGCCATGCAGATCAAACGTGTTTCTAGTGAAAAAGCCTATCAAATTTTACTCGTATAAACCACAATTTGTTTAGACATTCAAACTAAAAGATTGTTATAGGTAGACGTTCCGATTTTCGTTCACTTATCGGAAAAGATTTAGAAAACGATACTTTCATAGCAAGAAGAATCATTCGCTCCGAAAAAGTAACGTTTAAAAGATTGTCGATGTTCGTGTAGCGACAGTAATACCAATTTCACGATAAAGCCCCGCCATTAGGGGTGGATTCAGTAATTTTCGTTTAGATCGCAAAAACAAGCGAACGCTAAGTATAGCAAAATCGATCGAAATTGGAAAAAATATAGCTTTCGTTGAGCGATCCCATGCATGAATATCCTGGTATACTTCATTCATCCATATAAGAAACTCATTTGCATTATATTTCTATTTATAATAAACAGGAGCCGAAACCCAGCAATAGGTATTTATCTAACTGATGTTAACTGTTTGCCTTGTACGGCATCAACTCAAATTAAACGAAGTTCAGCAGAAGGGTAACAAGGCATAGGGTAACTACTGCGAATCAGGTAGTATCAGCTCAATTAATAAGTATTCAATTTTATTAAATTTTATGGAAGATTTACTGACCTTGTCTCATTCCTAAGTACTAAAAGGTACATTTACGTTTTTGCAATATTTAGTGTCATTAGAAATCTAATATTGCTGTATTCAAGACAAAATGAAATACTGTCCACGACATGGCTGAACAATGCAGTAAAAGAGAAGAGGCAGATGATTTATTGAATTTTACATTTCTTATATCTGTGGATAGAGTATACTATTTGTAACAACTGATTATCTGCATATTGTGAAGGTCATCATTTCACAGTTGAATAATAATATTATTTTTTTTGCTAAGGAAACTTCTTTAATCAAATCTTGCGCTGAAATCAAAATTACGGTAATTTCGTATTTGGCGAGTATTTTGTACATCGTCTATGCTAGGACAACTCCAAATAATAATTCGAATGTGTAATACGCGTACATAAAAAAAAAACTTTTTTTCTCAGTAAAGTTTTTCATGCATCGCCAACTTGAAAAGACACTTTTATTTAATTAATGTATTACATATTGCTATGGAAATATGGCCGTCCGCTATCTCTTCTTTTCATAGGATGGTTCGGAGGTACTGGAGGTGGCTCATAAATAGTCGAATCCTCGGCATTCATCTCTATACCATCTATATTGGATCCCAATTCTTCGTATTTAGTATTTGACTGATTACCAATCCAGTTTTTTATTCTAGGAGAAACGTAGCCTTCGTAGTCCGTATAGAGTGATAGCCTTTTATCATCTATTTTGCTTGACAATCTTACTGGAACATTTTTCGGTGAATAGCTTCCTGTTTTCACTATTAAAATCCTTTTATTGCCTTTTATGAGTTCTGGATTGTACTTCACTATAAAATAGACTACAGCTGCCGTTATGCCTATAGTGCTGATGAGAGTTAATACTATACTGACAATTATAGTAATTTTTTGGTAATTGAGATACCATGCTCTATGATTCCAGTCGGGTGGAGTAGTAATGGCAGTACAATCATCAGCAATCAATGCATAATTATCTAAAGTATCATTTGAAGCCAAACATATGGTATAGGTCTTTTCATATTGCAAATCCAGTAAAATACTTTGACTTATATTGAAAACACATCCGTAGTTCGAACGGTTTTTGACGTCAGTCCATATTAAATATTCTTTCTCTTCAACAATAGATGAAATATTCAAAAGATACGTGGCAGTTGCTTCTAATTCAGAAAAAGTATATATGATATTACGGCGTTTGAACAAGGATTCATACCATATAACATTTTTTGTAGAATCACTGATTTCTGGAGAATACATTAGGAGATTCCTGCACCAAATTCTTTCATACAAAAAACTGTCATCGTTCTTAGATGTTTGTGTTGAAGCTGATGATAAGGAGGTTTCTGTACTAGTGGTTACTTCTGTGCTAGTAGTCGTAGTTGAGGTTATACTACTAGTTGAAGTAGTAGACATTTTTGAAGGACAAAAATCTACTTCATCGAAACTAACCCAACCCGAATCAGTGTCGCACCTCTTGTAATCAATCGCTGGCATTATGCTTAAATACTCCTTAAGCCATTGTAAATCACAATTACAATTCCATGGATTTCCAGATATAAACATCGATCTAAGCCCTATCAAGTCATTGAACATACCATCAGATAGAGTTTTTAAATGATTATTGTTAATATACAGTTGAATAATTTCATTCAGTCCATCGAAAGCTCCTAATTCTATTTCATTTATGCCACTGGATACTAAATATAAAATTTGAAGACTAGGAGCTTTTAAAAATGCTTGCTTAGGTAGCTTTGATATCGAATTATAGCTCAAATCGAGAATTTGAAGCGTTGTTAGAAGGCTTCCTCGGCCAGTTAAATTCTTCAATGCTTCCCCATTTGTTAGGCAATATTTCAGAGCTATGCTTGTGACCTTTGAGGAAGCTTGTCCCAAAACATCTTGTTCTATATTCAAACCATCTGACATAGAATCATAATATATTTCCAATGCCGATATAGAGCTTCCCATAAACATAGATTTTGTGATGGTCTTGACTGGTATATTGTTGAACGTTAATTCTAAAAGATTTGTCGTGAAAGGTTCACCTGAAAATGAGAAATCTCCTATTTGCTGTAGATTTAAAGAAGCCATGCTTAATTTTGATACAGTCGTTGTGATTCCTTGAAGCCAACCAGAAGATATCGTATTGTTGGTGAAAGTAGTACCTTGGATCGATAATTTGATGTTGTTTCGGGAGGAGCACCTGTGTTGCTGGAAAATAGTTAGGATTTTACTTTCTTCTGTAATTTGAAAATATGTTTATTACTAACTTCTTGACTAAGTGCATTAATACTTCGAATTGTACCCTCTAAGCTACCTCCTTTGCAACTTACATCGCATGTATCTGTATATACACAAGTTTCCGATTTTTTAAATTTAAGTTTAGTAATTGATAAATTATTTGCGATTATTGCACTTGGTTGTGTGGTAGCAATGGTGCGAAAATGCGGAAAATTAATTTCATTAGTTGATTCACTTATGATATAACTCAGCAATATTAAAAATATTATCACAGCTGCTATAAAGGCAAGAATGAGCTTGAACCGGAATAAATAATATGTCTCCATCTGGAAGTCTGAAAAGGGTAGTAAATAGTGTTAGTTTCAAAAAAAAAAATATTGAAAAATAATACTCACTTCTTTTTAATGCTTTCATTTTGGCAGACAGTGAACCACAATTTATGGAAATACAAATTGTTTTAGATTATATGAAGATAAACATATGTTAATAAATAAGGCCAGGTCAGAATTCCCCTTATTAATAACTTAAGCCAATAGATTATTGTTAATATTTGCTCCCTTATGTCAAATAAAAAGCTGAAGCTTAAACAAAATCCGCAAAAATATCGCATATAATTTATTTGATGCAAAAGTCCTTCCACTTGAAAAAATAAAATAAAATCAAATTGCCCCTGTACTTCTAATTTGTAATTGTTTATAATATAAATGGTTCGAGTGTTGACAGGTTCATTGGCAAGAAATTAAACACCTTGAAGAATTTTCTTACCTAATTACCAAGTCGATGATAGACATGAACGCACTATATATAGTACATAAAATTGAAAAATTAACTTGTTTACGTTTAGGTGTTGCTAGTTGAAAGTGGTGGTTTATTGCTCATCTTTGGGAATTATGGCGGACGAAGCAAAGGTAGATTTTTAAAACGGGAAACAGAAGAAATATTTTAAAGTTACGTTGTTTTTAGAATGAAAAGCCTCAAGAGAAAAAACCTGCACCTGCAGTAAGTACTTTATTGTCAGTGGTTTTTTACATGCATGGCAAAAAGAGTTCTGCTTTTTTATTTTGAAACCTATCACACTGGGGTCAAGCCTTGACAAATTTGAGCTGATTTTTCTTACACCTTTCAAATGAATAATGCCTTTCAATCTTGAAGAACTTTTGCGATAGGCCAAAGTTTACATAATAAGGGCTTCATTTTCTGTTATTTTTATAAGTACAATAGAAGTAGAAGTCACTGCCTTTCTAACATCCGGATCAGGGTTAATTCTGATCCGAAAACATGACTTTTCCCAACAAAAAAAAAATTACTTCTGGTTATCGGTTGAATTTTTGATCGACAATAACCTCTCTTGAAAATTAACGTTTCTTAATTCCACTGCACTGAAGAATGCAAAATAATCGATTAAGCCCCAAAACTCAGGTTTGTTTTGTTTTTTACCAGAGTAGATTATGCTAACAGAAAAGAAATAATAATAATGATAATCATATTAATAATAATAGATCTTTATTTAACAAAAACAGCTAATTTACAAAATTTACAGAATATGCACAATCTACATATCTACACTATAAAAATGGCAATACCTATTTACTACTCCTAAACTATAAGTAAAAAAAAAGTATGATAAATAAATTGTGTATAGGCATATTTTTCGCAGCTTAAAATAAATTGGGTAAATTGTCCTTGGGTCGGTTATACGAAGTTTAACGATATATTCAATTTTTGCGAAAGTTCTTTCTGATTTGCATTTCAAGAGTTGATCTAGAAATTATCAATGTCAGGAGTAGCTCTCGTAAGGATGCAAATTAGGGATTCAAACCTTGGCAAGATTTGAATAAAACTTCAACCAATAAAGTTTACTGATATCGTCATAGTAGATTTTACCTGGTAGAAGTAGGTATGTAGGTAACCCAAAAAAATATCAGGAAAATTAAGAAAGGACAAAAAAAAGGATAATTCACTTAGGAAGCCTAAACAGCAGATCCAGGACATCAAATATGATCATGTATTTCTTCCTAACCAGCGAAAACAAAGTTTCTACATTATTATTATTTATCAAATTAATTTTCCAAAAAGTTTTAAATAATTATCATTGAACGTGAGCTATTTACAATAAAGCTTCAAGCATTAATGTGAGGAAACCCTTGAAAAATATACGTCATTTTTAATGAAATTTGATATAAATCCCAACACTTCGTTTTCAAGAATAAGCATCTTCCCTTAACATCTAGCTGCTATTTGCTTTCTTAATTATTATTAAATTATTATCAATCCCTTCAACAGTTATATTTTTCTTAAATAATGAGCATTGAATACTTATGTTTTGAAAACCATTTCAAAAATTTCAAATAAAAATTTTCTCTTTAAAGATTCACATCTGTTACATGCATTATAGCTGATTGCTACCTGGCACAAACATAATGACCTATCAATACCAAAATAATTGTTCTATAATTAGCAACAAAATTCGCTATTAATTAATTAATTGCCAATGACGATGATGTTTTGGGGGTATATAATTTTATATATCTTTGTTTAGACAAAATTTAATTAGTCGTGAACCCATCGGCTTTATTTACACTACTAAGTGCTTATCAAAATGGTAAGATAATAGAAAAAATTACCAGTATTTTTCTACTAATAGAACATTTATTTTTTATTTTTCAGGCTGAAAAAGTTGTAAGTATACATAATATTAGGTACATATAGTTTAAAAGTTGAAAAAATTAAATTTAACTCCAGGAAGTTGTATTGGATTATGAAGCTTTGAAACATTTGGATATTGCAAAAGATCAATTGAAAAGTAAGTGTTACGAAAACTAATTTGAAATCTATTCACTGAACTTTTTATTAGTGCTTAAGCAAATTTTTGACTCGTTTGACTTGGACAAAAAAGGAGAAATCGGCGTTGATATGATTGGACAAATTTTGGATATGTTAGGTCATCAATTGAATCCTGACGAACTCGCTGTAAGTCAAACACTATAAACTTGTAGGTACCGCGAAAGACAATTTCCTGTTAACAATTCCAGAAAATTATCAAAGAAATTGATGAAGATGGAAATGGAGTAATGAGTTTTGAAGAGTTTGCTCATCTAGCTGCGAGATTCCTGGTTGAAGAAGAGGAAGACGTTGAGGCTATCCTGAGAGAACTCAAGGACGCGTTTAGGTTATATGACAAAGAGGGTAATGATTTGACTTATTTTGATTTATATTTATTCCATAAAAATTGTTGTTCTTCTAGGTCTTGGCTATATTACTGTGGATTTGTTAAGAGACATTCTAAAAGAATTAGATGATAAACTTACTCCCGCAGATTTAAATGAAATGATCAAGGAAATCGATACGGATAATTCTGGAACTGTTGATTGGGAAGGTACGCAGAGATTTATTCGATAGAAAAGGAAACCGCAACCATTTTTTTTTTTTCAGAATTTAAAGCCATGATGATTGGTTAACTTGATTGCTATGAATCTATAATGAAATTTATCCGGATGTAGCGTAGTTTCTTAGATATAAGACTGACAAATTATATTTTTTCAAATTGAAAATGAATATTTTTAATATACCTACAAAATTAAGTACAGTGGAAAAAAATTTTTGTTTAATTTTCAGTTAGATCCCTGAACACTAGTTTTTCTAAATGGCTGACAAGCAGAAAAAAATAACAATTTTTGTATTTTCCTTGGAAAGCTTGAATGTTTTTTTGCGAAAACATACCTATACAATGTGCTGGCTCTCTCTCTCTGGAACCCTCTAGAGTACTTTTTTTTGTGGTGAAGGGTGAAGTTAAATCACCAGTAATTTTGGGGTAAAAAAAATGAGCATTCAAGATATTAGAAAATTCACTTTAAAATAGTTAAGAGTAAAGTGGATTAATGATATGTAGTAGAAACTATAATAATATTTAGGTCTGTTTCAATACGTCCAAAACTGTCCCATATGAACGGGACCACTCAGTATACGAATTTCGGATTCTACGCACAATTCGCAAAAGCTTTAGGGCTTGCGCAGAATTGTGACATTTTACGATTTCCTGCTGTGTTGGAACAGACCTATAATTGTCAAGAAAATGAGTACATAATTTGTAGAAAAAGCCTTAAAATTGAAAATACAGACATGTACTAATATTTTTGCGAATGTGGCTGACGATTGACACTCAAGCATAAGCGAAAACATGCAATGTCAGTTAAAACAAATCTAAAAAAAAATTATGTGCAGCATCGTACAAGTATTAAGGAGTGAAACTACTAATCCCCCCCCCTCATACAACTCTTAGACAGCGTATGAGTCGAAGTAAAGACGAAGGACCGAACAAAAGGGAGACGCGCATCTATGACGTCACAAGGGTATCGGCGCTTGACAATAATAGGCTGTCATTGCCCAACCCAAATATATGTCTGTCTTTCTGCGTCTCTCTACGTTATATCTTTATTTTCTCTCATCTAACGAAATTTGCAAAACGTGACGCTTCCTGTCTTTCTGGGTCTCTCTACGTTATATCTTTCTTCTCTCTCTTGTAACAAAATGGGCCTTAACGTGACGCGTCTTTCAATTCACTCTCCATATTCGTCTAAGAAGTTTCACTTCAATAATTAAGTATATATGTTACGGTTAATATGCAAACTTGGCTAGTTTGTAAACTAGCTGGATAGTTTGCAAACTAACCAACTCACTGGCTATTTTGATAGAAAACACAATTTTCACCAAAATAGCAGCTAGTTTGCAAACTAACCAAGAGTCTTGGCTAATTTACTTGAAATTATTGAGAAAACTAAAATAGCTGGTTAGTTTATAAACTATCCGATGCAGTTTGGCTAATATGAAAACCATATTTTCTAGTAACACAAAATAACCAAACCTTTGGCTAGTTTACAAACTAGCCAACCAATTCTCTGGCTAATTTGCAAACAAAGTTAGGTTAAAGAATTCGACGCTCCATTGATAGATCTGCATAATAATAAAGCAAATAATTTCCAATTTCACAACGAAGGAAGTCTGGCAAAATATTAGCTTGTATGGACGATTTGTTTGATATTATTAAAGAATCTTACCAATCACTAGGCACGGCAAAAAACAAGTTACAACAAAGCTAATAAATGAAAAATATTCAAATATTACCCAAGAAATTGTAACTTTGTTCCTCGATGGATGTGAGAATTGCCAGGTAAAAAAGAAAAAAGCAAAAATGTTAATTTTATTCATCTCTAATTTATCGAATAAGAAATACCATGAACATTAAACTTTATTTGTAAATTAGCCAGAAAATTGGTTAGTTAGTTTACAAACTAGCCAAAGGTTTGGCTATTTTGTGTTACTAGAAAATATGGTTTCTATATTAGCCAAACTGCATTGGATAGTTTACAAACTAACCAGCTAATTCAGTTTTCTCAATAATTTCAAGTAAATTAACCAAGACTTTTGGTTAGTTTGCAAACTAGCTGCTATTTTAGTAAAAATTGCGTTTTCTATCAAAATAGCCAAGGGGTTGGTTAGTTTGTAAACTATCCAGCTAGTTTACAAACTAGCCAAGTTTGCATATTAACCGTAACATATACATCTTAAAAGTTTCTAAGTACTGTTCTCTGATCCGAAAAACCTGGACTAAAAACAGTACCGTCAACGACATTTGGCACAAAAAGATGACACAACTTAGTCCAAAGCAGGGGCGTCGCGTCGGGGGGGGGGGGGGGGGGGGGGGGTACTGGGGGTAATTACCCCCCCAGGATCGAATTATCAAGAGAAAAATCACGATGCCAAAAAGAAAATACATAATATATTGAAGAAATACATTTTTGTTTTGTTTTATTTTTTTTCACAAATGAAATAATTGTTCTGGAAAAGTGAATGACCTTGAAATTTGCGAAAAATTTCGTCTGCGGCGCGTTTTTGGAGGGCGCTCCCTCAGCCCCCCGTAACATTTACCCCCCCCCCCCCCCCCCCCCACAGACTACTGGTCACGCGTCGCCACTGGTCCAAAGTGCTCCATCTGGTTTTAGTTATTCGGGTTAAAGCTCAAACATGTATGACTATAAAGTCCGCGACACGGAAGATAAAGCACCGAAGGAATGCGACCGCCTTCGCCACCGTACGTGAACAAATACAAATCCGCCACATTATTTGTTGTCTTGGTCTACATAACAGGCTATTTATTATTTCTCGATCGTTTCAGTAAGTTTTTTAAGTTCTCAAATTATGTCGCTAAGAGTTTTTGTTGCATTTGTTCCCACTCCCTCATCAGGCGTCCTCCTCTATCTTTCGTGGTGGACTTCCCAAAAGATTCAAATATACACTGAAAGGTTCTTGAGCAGCGCACACACTGGAATAATTTATGTTGAAATCTCCTAATAAGATTAATTTACTATTTAGAGGGAGGGACTTGAGCATGAATGAATAAATGAATGAATGATTTAGGGGTATTGTTACACTGCGAGTTGCGACCTGCATAGATCTATTTTGCCCCTCCTCCTGGGTGCTTCAGTTGATAGGATTCTCGGTCAAAGCACCTCATCCAGCTTAAAAGCTTTTATCAGCGCAAGTAAGCTGGATGGTTCTATGTATAGAATTTCTTCCCGTCCAACGATGCTGCATCCGAAGCAGGCAATTCGTTTATTCACATTTGCCTCGCACCCCGTGAGAAGGAATTCTGGAGTTTCCTTCCCTTCCTCACTGAACCGGCAGCTGTCTTCATTTTCGATTTTAATTCTCTCAAGGTGCCCTTTTAAGCTGCAGTGGCCTGTAGTGTAAGAAATCCAGTGAGAACGCGAAGATTGTTTGTACTCGGTGATATAAGGTCTATTGATCTTTCTTTTTTTGATTGCCTCAACCCTGAAAGCTGTTTCCAGCAGCTGATTCATTTGGTCCGCTCTTTCTTTCTGAACGCTTCCTTATAGGTGTGCATCCTTATGCTACAGAAAGGCTCTGGTCCTGAAAGCGGAGTTTGTGCTCCTAATTTCGCCAATTGGTCCGCCTTCTCATTACATGCGATCCCTGCGTGTCCCGATATCCACCCACTAGAGGGATAGTTTGTTATTTTGCCCAGTTTGCTTACCTTATCCAGGAATTCCCAAATCATTCTGGAGCTGATTATTGGTGAGCTAAGCCCTTTGATGGCTGCTTGACTGTCTGAGAATATGACAATCTTTCTTTTTTTTGTAGTTTCTGTCAATATTGAGCTCAGCACATCATCTTATAGCGTTTATTTCCGCCTAAAATATGTCTGGGTTTTTTCCCATTGCTTCGAAGAACTTGATTCCAGGCCCAAGTACTCAGGCTTCCTTGTTCAGTTCTTGACCCATCAGTATACCATTTTACGGCTTTCTGCTGCATTGGGACTTGAGCAAGCTTAGCGAATTTTGATAGAACTAACCACGTCAGCCTCAAGTGTTCTGTGACTGCAAGCAATATTGAGGTCGTAGATATTGTTGTGGACTATAGAAAATTCAGATATTTTTTCAACATATTAGTTACCTACTGCCGAAAATTTGTTATAAGTGGACACTATTACAGTATCTCCATGAGATAATATACTTCTAGTAGGTAAACCTTGATGAGAATGTTCAACTAGTGTCAAGGGCGAGGCCAGATGGGAGCTACTTCAGTTTGCAGTTTGCAGTTTTCCTAAATTTTCGTTCTTTGACGGGGTTTGAGTCAATGGGATTTTGCATGGGGATTGGAAATGATGTTAGAATAGTACCCTATTAATTTCATGGCAAGACTCGAAGTCCGAGTTGGAAATAGTGCTCTATCAATTTTATGGCTAGAGTCGATGTCTAAGTATGATTTATTAAATTTATTTTGAATTAAAAAAAAAATGCTACGCCAATTGGTCGTTCGGGTGTTTCCGTCAGATTGGCTGCCAAGTTTTGGCTGCTAACTTCACACCGTTTCTTCCTATATTATTGAAAATAATAAAGAATTTATTATTGTAATTTGTTACGTCGAAGAACACAAAGAACGATTATATTTGTGAAGGGAAAGACATTCCAAATAACCTAGCAAGTAACGTTTATGTTCATAAAAATCCAAAAATTTTATTGTAGCTTTATTGTACCAGTCCATTTTTGACGCTCAACTGTAGCTCCATCGCATTGCTACTAGTGATTATCATGCTGTATGGATATGTTGAACATATCACTCAGGTATTTGCTTGTTTTGCAGATATTTGTGCCTTTGATTTGTGTGTAGTCACCATTATCACCAACTTTGAGCGGGAAATATTTATATTGATACTAAATATCCCATAAACATATTCGTCTATGCGCCTAATATCCGAATGTGTGGAGTCGCCTTAATGACGACCATAGAGAAATGACGACCCTAAAAAAAACACAGTATTTGACAGTATTGAACGATCACAGATGACAGAAGATGTGTGATGGTGGTCGAGGTGATCGTGGATGGTATCGGAATCACAACAGACAAGCAAGCAACAGTTTAATCCTGCATTATTAGGATAAATAGTCGAGAAGGATTTGAAGAGACCTACACCCTACACCAAAGAGTCAACTTGAATCAGTTGGGAAAAACGAAAAGGATTGTATCATATATTCAACTTACCTCTAAATTTTTTGTTTTTTTGAAGTCAGGTCTTGAGGTTTC